ACATCAAAGAGCTTGGAGCAGGACATCTGTGGCTGGCAAAAGCTTACACAGACACAACACAGACCTCTAAACACCTGACCGGAAAAAAAAGAGCCTCCACACGTTGAGCTGGGAGTCGCTGCAGGGGAAAGGCGGTGTTGCCTGTCTGAGTAGTCTGAAATAAGGCCTGAGTACCTCCTGCTAATTACATGTTTTTGCGCCAATTCTAAAGACCTACAAGTGTTTTATCTAAGCCTACTCTGTACAGCCAACTGGTGGAAACACTTCTTGGAGGGGATTTGCTTTCTAAAACTCTGTTGAAAGTAAACACTATTAACTCCCAGGGGAAAACAATATGTCCTCAGCATCTGACCTATTGTAATTGCTTTGGAACAGCAGGTAACCTTTCTCGATGCAGCAGTAGGGGACGGACTCCAGATCTACCATCCTTGTCTAGTCAAAGGAAATGCCACGGACGAGTCAATATGTTCACTTTACTGTCAAGTCATAAAATTGAATTAATACCCGCTAATCATAGAGTTATATCTCAACATGTTTTTTTACCATTTTCGGTCTCAGGTCAAGTAATTTTGCCCATAACAAGCCTAATAACCTCTAACTTTAATCCATTATAGAAGGGGAAACAAATAAAGTTGCATGTGTTGCATTTAGATGCCAAGGACCTCAGTTATAATATGTGGATTGACAGCTAGTTCATGTCAAAGTCTTAATGTAGAGTATGTCTTTTCTGTTGCTCTTAATCAAAACAACAACAAAAGACGGACTTTAATCACTTCATAACGTCGCTTGTGATAATGGGAGATGTTGTCTTTACTGTTAAAGTGTGGTATATTTGTTGCTTTCCTAACAACTTATGTTTATGTATGCACCACATACACCGAACCAAATTCCTTGTGTGAACCTACTGGGTAATAAAGCTGACTCTGGTTTACAGAACATGTGTAATTTATCCACACACAATGAAGCTAAATTGATTTTCTTTTTATTCTCAAAGCAATTCAAAATTGGTGTGAAAATAGCCTTGGTGTGCATTACTGTTAATTTATTTCATTGACAGTATAAAAGCTGCCTTATTTATTAACTTCATATTTCGTGACTCATTAAGTCTAATATTATTACCCTCCACAGGTCATACCGTAATTAAATCAGGCTTTCTCCCAGTGAGTCTAAATATCAGAGTTTTATTGATTGTTGTTAAAGTTTAAATGTGAGAGAAACCCCTCAAATAAAACAAATTTTCTATGTATTTATTTCAATTCATGTTTCAGCACTTAATAATCACTCCCCATAATGGGTAATGTCATGCTAATGCTCCGGCACATTTTCACTCACACGTTTACGCTTAGGCTTTATAGAAACCATTATAGGCATTGTATAGGAGGTAAAGGACAGGCATGCTTTACAGGCACAGATGCACATAGTGGATAAATATTACTGACATGGCAGATTAAGGCGTGACATGCTCCAATAATGATCACATTACCCCACCTCTTCCTATAAAGCTAGCCAGAGAACGAAGGAGTGAAAAGAGAGAGAGGGGGGGGGGGGAGCGACGACACATGGATCAACACACACACTAATTAAATGATATAAACGAAATATGCGTATGAGCTAATGCATTTAATTGGTGTTTCAGTTGTTAAATGGTTGAGTGTGAATGTCACCTTGAGCTTTCTGTTAGGTTGTGAGTACCTTTTATATTGACCTTATGTTATGACAATATATTTGTATGGAAGTAATTACAAAACACATAACTTCAATGTACAAACTGACCTTTAAGAAAATGCTATGCGTGTTTCTGTTACTCGATTGAACTCCTTGCTCCTAACCACTTCAGCTTGTTACTTTGAACAAAGGCATGTGCGTCACAGCTGAGATCTGATATTTATATCCTCCTGCTGATGTACATCCTCCTACGTCAGTAACTAGGCTGCAAATGTAGTGCTTTCAGTAGGTCACATAGTGGCTTGACCCAAATAACATTCATACTCTTCACGCTTTGTTAATAAGTGTCGATACGTGATAAGTGTTGATAATTAATATTGGGATAGAGGAAAGTCTACAAAAAAATTTCCGCAAACTTAAAACCCACCTGTTTCGACTACACCTTGTCCTTGAACAACAAATACATAATAAATTCAATTAGATAAAAGACTCACTTCTTAGGTAATTTTTAAAGTGCTTTGGCTAATCAAATCTAATATATCTGCAGGATTCTTGCTTTTTTTGGTTTCTATGTGCATGGTTGATTGCACTTATTGTAGGTCACTTAGCTAAATGAAAGGTAATGTAATGTAATAATTGCCTGATTCATATTTAAAAAGTCATCAGTTTTTACGTTTTCAAGGTACATTTACTCGCTGTATCAGTAATAGACCATATGTGATAAAGGACATGAGCCAATTTGCAACACTCATGTCTCCAATATGTTACGGTCAGAATTTAACAATCATGTGCGATCTGCTTTATAATATATGAACAGAACGCAGTGCCTGTGCTGCCAGAGTGAGACATTTCTCATGCGTGAGCACTCAGCGACAACAGATTAGTAGGGCTCTCTCAGAAAGATAGTAGTGTTGGTTGGTCGTAGTCACTGAGAGCCACAATCGGCCGCAAAACAGCATGCTGCGTCTCCCGTGTGAGGAGGACGGTGCTCACATTTTTAAGTTTAACAAACAGTTCAGGCTTTAAGTGGAGATAAGCACAGACCACTTGTGAGCCTGATAAAACACCTGTTATTCCCAGCTACGCTAAGAAGGAGTAAATGCCAACGCTGATCGCAGCACAGAGAGGATGAGAAAAGTTTGCAACTGAACTACTAAAAAGGGATTTAAAGTACTGCCATATGGTTGCACTATAATAGTTCCAGCATCATTTGTATTTATCATTTTTTTTCCCACTTAAAACAAATGATCATTTCAATTGAATGATTATGTTTGGCTCTGGGAAATGCTTCTTTCTATTTGTTATGTAGGCCAACCAAACACAGACACTAACACACACCCATACACAACACAAATCTACTAAATACAGCTTGTTTGCAAAGTCATGTACTGAATCTAGTTTTTTCAGCATAATTAGGTTTTTTAATAATAATAAAAAAAAGATTGGAGGTTAAAAGCAGAACTGGAATCTTCACTAATATATGATACATATATACGGTATTTCGTTAGTGTTAGCAAAGTTATATATTTCCATAAAACAGGGGAACTACCAGAGACTGGTGATACTGTGGGTTTTGTGACACCTTTCGCATTACAAATAATAATTTGTAAAATGTACAAGACAGTGTACAAACCAAAATGCTTTTTATGAATCATTTCCCATTTAGTGTTACAACAGCATAATGGGAAAACAGATTCATTCTTACAATTTAAATGATGTACATACTAATAGTGTCTGCGTCCTCACACATTGAGGCCACCCTAGTTCCTGTAAACCTTCCTTCACTTGAACCCGAACCTCACTCTCCAGCTCAGCACCGCCCTCTTGTGCGAAATTCCCTTAATTACAGCAACTAAGACGTAATGCAATGGACATTGTTAAAACTTCTATGAAAATACATGAACATTAATGTATTTTAATAATGACCTTTTTCTTAACAGATACTTTTGTTACGCACTTGCATTTGAAATAGTCGGATGTGTAAATATACATGTTCATATAAATACATTTCTGCACGAGTAAATGATAGATAGCGCTAAATTGAGTGAAGAAGTAAAAATGACACAAGTTTGAATAGTTCAAATTAGGGATTGCATACTGTATGTGCATGGTTGATAGGAGGGCTGATAGGGATTGGTGCAGGGAAATAGTGTAAGTAAACTGAGGCAGATAGTGTGAGGACGGATGCACTGAAAACGTACACAATCTGTGAAATGCAAGGCTGCTCAATATGGGCGTTATCTTTCATTGGCTTCATTCTTACTGTGATGCCATGCTGGTCTTTTAGATAAGACTACTGCAAGCTGACTGCTCTATTGACAAACTTTGGTCATAGACGATGATTGCCTTTAGGTTCATTCAGGTGAAACCTTCTCTGTTAGACTTCCTGCTAGGATTAGACCAGAATCTTGTAATCCAAGTTTAATACTTTTGACAGACTCCACTGACCTCATTGTTGCAGCATGGTCTAATAAGGAGAGACTGGCTTGTGGATTCATAACAGCCATCGTGTTTGCCGTGTAAAGGTCAAGGCTGTTGTTGGCAAACCGAGATGCCAGTTCTACACCCTCCTTCTGGTAGACTGACTCAGGGTTTGTAATCTAAAAAGTTTGTTGTCTGGAAACTTGTTCCCTAAAGGCTAAAGTAGAACCTTACATTTTCAATAACCACAGCTCAATTGTTATGGGTCATCGGTTATTAGTTATTGTGTACACATCATATTTGCCAAGAGCCTTGGAGAGTTTTTGTTTGGACGTGTGTTTATTTGCATGTCAAAATACTTCCCTAATGAGTTTATTTCTTAAATGATCATAACACGTTAGCTGTGGGTTTAATAAGGTCATGAATATAAATATTTAAGCTCAGAAAATGTAAGACAATTCTTTCTTTTTAGCCATTAAAAGTGGAGGTGCCAGCTATGGCAGAGGGCCCAAATGATGCCCATGTTGCACACCAACAGTTTTAATAAGCACATTTAAAAAGAAGTACCTCCAATATAAAGTTAAAATTGAGAGGGGGGCGGTACCGTTCCATACCTTTTCAAAGTTCCCTTTAGAGCTATATAAGACTTTATAGACTTGTGTTCCCATTTAGAGTCATTTTCCACTGACGAGGAAAATGTCTGTTTGTGGTTGGGTTCAAAACTAATAAAACAATTAGGTAGAGAGCATGAACATCTGAACTGTGTGGCATTCAATGCCATGTTTACTCTTTTTACTAAAGATTATTTTGGCTACTCACCATCAGACCATCTTATGGCGTCGTCCAGTTGTGGCGGCAGCCCCTTCCAGAGCGAGCTGTCTTTAGGGTATCCCAGGTCCATTCGTCTCAGGTGGTCATCGTAGCGCCAGTACAGGTTGTCCTTGAAGAAGGTAGGTTTTCTCGTTGTGTAGCCAAACAAAGCGCCAATCTATGGGTAGGCCAAAGTCACCGATTGAACGAGGGTAGCCCTCCTCTACGTTATTATCCTTAAATACCCAGTACTTTAGACCTGAAGAGGGTGGAGACAGGTCAACATGTAAAGGAGAAATACTATCTTTATAATTTGGAATGTATTTACAAAGTTGTATAGCCTAGTCAGTCAACTAAAACCATGGATAAATAGTTGATACCAGATAGAGCTATTTACCTTTGAAAAAAACTATTTTATGGTCCCCAGGTCTCTCATACACAGCATCCACACTGTCCAAATTTTGGGGGAGGCCCCTCCAGAAGCGATGGATCTGAGCAGGGCGCAGGGACACCAGGTGCTTCTCTCTTGTTAGTCGCCAGAAGTACTTTCCTATAACAGATAGGGACAGGTTAGAGCTTGGTTCTTCTTCACAATATCCAGTGGGAGTCTATTAACAGAAAAAATGTGTTAAGTTAGGACACAGTGTGCTGTGTCTGCAGTATCTTACACATTCCTTTACCTCCTTCACATCCACAGGGCAAAAGAAGAACTGAATCTTCAATAATTACTCTTACATTCTCTTTAGAGTTGTTTCTCTATTTATTGAGCATCCTTGATTTAACTTTGAAAATAGTATTGGTAAAGAATGCATTTGGTTTAACTAATTAAAGGAACAGGAACCTTAGCCAAAATTAATTCTGAAGCGTTACATTTTAGGAGATCATTTACAATATAATAATGTGTTCTGGCTAATAAAAGCTCTCTTACCACTCCTGCCAATCAGCTAAATGGATCAATATTCAGCTTTGCAGATAACAAGTATGCACCAAACAAAAGCTTGAGCCCTTAAGGGCCTGCAGAATATATGACAGTACAGCTGTGATTGGGGCCCTGGGAGCCACACATGAGTGTGCTCTCTATCGATCGCTGGAGCCGCTACTCTGTCCAGCCCACAGACTCTACCACTTTATCTCCTCCACGTTCACCTCTTTTTCTCTCTTCCCTCTCTATGTCACTTTCTATTCATCTGTCTGTCCATCAGTGTCCCTTGTCTGCTCTTTCCTTTTAAGCCTGAATACCTTTAAAAAAGAAGGCCTCCCCTCGAATTTGGGCCACCGCATCGAAGTGGCTGGTACATCTGTCTGGGGCATCTTGTGTCAGCCTGGGAGAGGAAAGTAATACAACAAAAACAAGGACATTACATTAAATATCATCAATCTAAACTTTGAGTGTTTGAGGCTATATATACACACCTACCTGTTTTAACCGTTAAAAGGGCAATCACATGTAAATATTTAGAAAAATTAATTGATTACTATTGTCAACATTACACCTATATTACACTGCTATTACACCAATATCACAGATTATAACCCTATATCCCCCTATTAATAATAATAATAATAATAATAATACATGGGACTTTTATAGCGCTTTTCATGAAACTCAAAGACGCTTTGACAGAGAATTAAGAAAAGACAACAAAAAAAAGACAAAGAAATACAAAAAGAGATAAACAAAACAGAAAATAGGGGGGGAGGGGGGTGATCAGTGGTTGAATGCAGTGTTGAACAGGTGGGTTTTGAGTGATGTTTTGAATGCTGTGAGGGAGGAAGAATCTCTGATGGATTGGGGTAGTATATTCCTATATATCCTATCTTATCTCACTCTAACTAAACCCTTACTATACCCATGTTACACTATTATTACACCCACAATTACACTTTTACTACAGCAATTTTACACGGTTATCACACCCACATTTCACATCAACACAGCCCATTACACCCATGTTACACATGGACACAGCCTGTCAAATGACTATCACCCAGGCCAAGAAGTCTTTTAAGGGTTAAAACATAATAAAAGTGCACTTATTGTAAGGTATGCAGTTTGTTTGCATACATAAAAAAATATGGTAATTGCAAAGCCGAGAGAGTTTGAATGTATGCATGCATGTCCATGTGTTTCCTTCAATTAATCAGTCTGAAAATTAGGGTGAAATGCTATCGCGCTGACACGCTGAGGTCCCCCAGTGCATTTATCCGCTGGGCTAATAAGTGATTTAAAGCACCGACGTGGTTGGCCTTCCAATGATGAAGCCATTAGCACCACAGGGCTGCCACTGTGAGTGGGAGTCAGCTAGACTCTGCATTATTAACAAAGACCTCCATTCAGAGCTCTATTAACACCACATCGCTGCCTAGTCAACATTTGTGACCCATGTCAAGGATAATCCAGCTATAATGCACATTATGAACATATGGAGGAGGTAAAACACATTAGTATTGAGGGCAGTGGAAGGCTTGCACCCTTAAAGGAAAAGAGGCTTTTATATTTGTATTTTTAGAACTGCTGTCTTTAAATGAGAGTGTTTATGGAGGATATCAGACGTTTGTTGTTGCTGTTGTTGGTGTAGTTTGAAAGTTTGATTGCTCCCTAAGCAAGCTGCCCTCTCTTGATCCACTCTTTAAAACAAACTAACTTTCGGAGTACAATTACTTAACTCACTTGAAAGACATCCAGCCTTTGTTTAAGCTTTATAATAATTAACATGTCCAAATATATAAAGTTAGTACAGTAACAAGGTAACTCAAAATCATTTTGATTTGTTGTTTAGTGCATAACCGTTTTAGAAATGTGCTCGATATTGTTTTGACAGTGAAATTGATTTATTCAGACAGTCCAAGCTATAATAATAAAGATGATACTTTTAATAAATGTCCTAGGTGAGAGGAGATAGTGTAGTATGATGGCCTGGCACCTGAATGTGGAAAATGATTTAAAATTGCAAACAAGAGACTCTTAGCTGAATCCAGGTCATCACTCTAAATGTGCTTATGGTTCATGTTCTGTGTAGTCTGACAGGCTCCACTGCTGGGAATGTGGGTCAGTCCAAGCCTTTACAGAGGTACACAGTGAGATATCTTGTACACTGTAAAGACTGTAAACATCTGAAACAATTGTAATTACATTTTGTATAGATACTTATGGTCTAAAGCTGTTGAATTCAAAAGGACCCCATCACCTTTCCTATAGTGCCACCTACACCTGAAGTTGTCAACTGGACCATCGATTGCTCCAACTGTCAATCCAACAGTCAATGTTGACGATAACGTTTTTGTATCTACTGTTGGGTGATGGATTGATGGATGTTTGACAACAAGGAGGGGTGGAGTTCTTTGTGTATCGCTAAAAAGAAACCAGACCTTCTACTTACAGGAGAGTGGACCTGTTTTCAGGGAGGTCCAGCAGGACAGGGGGTTCAGCCGTCTGGGAGGGGTTGCCTGGTCGGTTTGTGTGGGACACCGAGTCTCTGACCCCTAGGGAGGATAGGTGATTAAAGACTATGTTAAAAACAAGGCAATTTATTTAAATGTAGCTTTGCAAACTTGTGAGGGTATTTTGGAAAATTCTGCATTATCACAGACACTGTAAAAAGGTTAAAGTACTAATAGGGAAAAAAAAGGATAGCATTCAGGCCAAACAAACTGTAGTAGCTAATGTGGTAGCCAAGCCCTAAAGCATATACTGTTTATAGTCTATCTACTGTACCCTAAATGGGACCGTCATTTACATAATGAACATCATACTGTATGGAAGATGACTTGAAACAAACAAAACTTGCCAGGATAATGTTTGCTTAGGGCATGAATCAAGTGAGAAGTAGGGTAATTTTTAAGTGCCCCCTACTGGCTATTACAGAGAATGCAAGTTTAAAGCACTTAACCCTTGGCTTTTCTTTTCAGACTGTGAAATTCCTGCTCTGGGCTTTGTCTTAGTGTCTGTTCTGTGGTTTAATTGAATTTATCTCCGTCTTTCACAGTCCTGGCCTTCAGCGTTGCTTGGTGCACTTCATTCTCGTCTTCATGGTCATTAGTCTCTCTCCCGCACACACTGCTGCTCTCTATATGATATATCAGTCAATGATGTGATAAGGTCATATGCCACAAAAAAAGGTCCAATTAACTCAATCTGTGTTTTCACTCATCTATAACCTTGCTCCACAGAGCAATTGCTCTTCCTCTCTCTGTCACACACACACACACACACACACACACACACACACACACACACACACACACACACACACACACACACACACACACACACACACACACACACACACACACACACACACACACACACACACACACACACACACACACACACACACACACACACACACACACACACACACACACACACACCAGCATTTGGATGTTCCCTCGTACCGTAGAGCTGCCAGACGCGGACCTTGTCTTCATACGGTAGGTCGTATTTCAGAGGGTCTCCTACAGGACCCTGGTAGTACGGTCTCATGATGGACTCTATGGCTGAGGTGTGGACCAGGCCGATGGCGTGACCAAACTCATGGACTGCAACCGCAAACAGATCCATCCCATGAGTGTCTGACGGAGAGGGAGAGAAACATGAGGGACACAGAAATCATTATCAGGTAATCAATAATCACTTTTGAATGAAAAGGTTGCATCTCAGCTTAGAGAGATCACTTTGCTGCTTAAAGTTTGTGACTTTTGTAGAACCAATACAGCCCCTGCTTGTGCGTTTATCCCTTTCATGAGAGAAGTCCATAGGTTGCAAGTTAAGAGGCGTGACAGACAGCTCTGGTGGCTGCGAGTGCTGTTAGGCATGTGGCGCAGTGAGATAACTATGGTAATAGTGTCTGAGCCTCTGGGCTGCCAATCAAAACTTGAGTGCGGAAAGACACCTAAAGAGGCTGCAGGCTATTAAAGCACATTTCCCTCGATGTGCAACTAAAAAGGAAAAAGGGAAAGCCTCCCGAAAACTACTTGTCTGGCTCTACTAAGCAAGACAAAACCTGGGTTTCAAGAGATTCACATTTGCTAAATATGTGAGAGCTAGCGTGTCGAGCCAAGCTAGCTTAGGGTTCCTTGGTGGCTCGGCTGAAGTCTGCGTTCAGTTAACCTTGTGATGGCCTCGACTTGGGAACATCTGAGTGCTGTGCTCTGTCGGAAGACAAAAGGACAATTGGAGACGTGCACTTGTGCTTACAACACCTGGGAAATTCGGAAACCAAATGCCAACTCTAATCTACGGGAGCACATGGCGCGGAGAGGGAAGGTGGATCAAAGGACGGATTGAAGGGGGGTGAGAGCAGGGATTCAGAACAAAGTAGGTAGCATGTCATCGTATTTACAGTCGGGTTGACGGGAACGAAAATCGTAATGCCAACGGACAAAGTCAGAGCGGAGAGATTTGGGGGGATGAACGGGACTCATGGAGTCAGACCTTTGTGGCAGAGACACAGAGAGAAGGAACACGAGGGTGAGAGAGAGCTTCAGAGTGAGTAGACAGGAGCAACATCAGAAAAGCAACTAAAGGAATAATTCTCAGGGTATCCTTCAGTCAGATATTGCATAACTTTGATGCACAGTAAATATAATTCTGGGGTATCTCTACCTTGGATATAACTGTATCCAGAATGCTACAAACATAGCCTGCAGCACTTGGATTGGGAAGGAAAGAGGCAGACACAACACCAGCCGAGGGCTTACCTTTTGATTTAATGTGAATCCTTGTAGTAGTGACCTCGCATTACCACTCAAAAATCAATTCAGATATATGTTGCTTTTAACAAAGTCTTAAAGGTCCTAGGTCATGCTTTTCCGGTTATTACCCGTCCCCTTGTGTGCTATGAAGGTTTTTATGCATGTAAACGGTGTGCAAAGTCAAAAACCCTCAAAGTACACCCTGTAGCGAGTAAAACTCAGAACACAGAAAAGACCTCCCCTAAACGCCTCGTTGGAGATTTCTCATTTTCCAATGTTTTCTTCCTGGGTATCGCTACGTAGAGATACCCAGAGGCCACACCCTCTGCCAGCCTTTCACGAAAGCTTCCCAAGCCTTTCAGCGATTCATGCCGGATATGTACAGCGTAGGGCACTGAAGAACGATGCTGTTCCTACTTTGTTTGGACCAGCGGGAGATTCGGGTACACAACCTGTAAGTATTCATTGTTGTTTGTGTATTTATGATGTTTAAAACAAACAAGGTATCTACCACAACTGTTTAAATGTGTAAACGTTTTTCGGGCGTTAAAAACCTTTTTCTTACTCAACATCAAGCCACACTTATTGTCTTTACTTCGGCTGTGAGTGTGTGTGCGCTCAGGATGAGTTTTGCTTGTTCTCCTGTATCGCCGACATGGAAGCCTGTATGCTGCTCGCAGCAGTTCGCAAAAAAAATTGCACAGTATGAATCTATTTTAGTATACCTCAACAATGGAATTATGATTAGTAGAAATGGCCATGACATGGGACCTTTAAAGGAAAATAATGCGTTTAAAGTGATGGGACGAAACTACACATTCATTTTCATGTAGGATGGTGATTCAGCAGTTCCCCCACCAGGATGAGAGAGAGCTTTAACTGACCGTCAACATCTGAGCATTCATTAAACCTGAGACACCCATTGATTCTGAGGGTTTAGCATAGTGCAAATGGCCAAGTATATCATTAAGGGGTCTCAATTTTAATGGAAGAGTTCTTAAGGCAGAAGATTTGCTGGTGCGGTCGATCTTTTTTTCTGAGGCTGGAAGTATTTCACAAGCTCCCTCAATTCTGGTAATATCTGCAGCTGCAGTTGACCCACTTATTTCCGTCCTGCATTGGTTACCCTCAAAGAGAGGGCCCCATTACCCATATATACTAGATTATTGAAAAGTACAGTGCAGGCTTGATTTTTATTCCATGTTCAAGCACAGCTCAGACCCAGCGCATACTCGATAAATCTCAATTTGGACGCAGATCCTGATGTTTCTGAGAGGGAATGAAGCTGAATCCTTGGAAATATAAGAAATAGGGTGTTGAGAAAAGGGTAAAAATGGGCCTACATGTTTTTAAATATTTACCAAATTGTATTGAACTCCATCTAGGTTACGAGAAGTGAAACAAAAATTGTCAGATTGTTGAACTTGTATTTATTTGTTATCGAACATTTCACTTGGAAGTCTGAGAATCCTGAGCAAAATGTTTACTGAATGCCTGGGACATGTTCTACTTGGAAAATCAACTTGGGAAAGAAAACATAATGGTTTTCCAAATAAAATCATTAATTTATTTTCTCATCTGCTAGTATACAGATAGATAATATTCCAGTGTTTCCCCTACCATTGTCTTGGAGGGGCGCTGTGCCCCGCCAACGGAGCCCCGCGCCCCCCCTGAAATTCAAGGTGTTTAAACAAAAAATATATACAACTTTTTTTTAAAATTTGGAACCAAATTGCAACTAATCTATATCTACTGTCACTTTCCACATTGAACATGTACTCTTTTATTACATAAACTAAACACTTTCATTTTAAGTTGTGAGTTTAGTGTTTTTGACCCTAAGAAACACTGATGCACTAATCAATAACAATAATCCACAGCTCCTCTCTCTGCTCCAGGGGATTTAAAAAAAAAATATATATATATCCCAATGACAGCCTTTTAAGCTACTGAACAGACTGAATGGCTGCTATAAAAACAGGAGATGTGGGATGCTCACATCAATGGTTCATATTTAATAATACATGTTCAGTAACAATGATCCACGATAAAATATGAAGGCACATCAGGCTCGAACCCATCAATTGGTAAATTCTGAGGAAGAAGAAAGGATGTGACCTCTTTCTATAACTGACCAGCAGACTCTGGAAGCATAAGGTACAGTATGGTCTTACTGAGAGAAAAGCTCAAGCCAACAGATAGAATGAAGATAAAATATATATTTAAATAATCGTATAGTAGGAAGTATTACTCAACTGTTTGGTTAAGTATTATAAGAGTAACCAAAAAACTGCCCCAGTGTCAAATTAAAATTGTAACAAGTTCAATCATCTCTTTAAAGCTGCTCAACATTTAAAAATGAAAGGCTTTCTGAAGATCAATCAAAAATTATGTTTTGATCATACATTGTTCATTTTGGCCATATTCACTATCATTATTTAATGATATTTTATAAAATGTGATTAAAAAAAAGCATCCCATGTCATTTAAGAAACAGAACATTTAAAAACAGAAGCTAACTATATTGAAAAGAAAAGTTAGAATCATAGGTGCATTAGGTCATGTATTGCTAATAGTGCATTCCAAGTGAAATTCATTCAAAAGGAAGAAAATATTTGAAATAGAAACAAGCTACAACCTTGGCTAAAAGGTCAGTCCGGAATTTGTCTTTTTAGTAGACTTTCTTATAGTATGAAAATGATACATTTCCCAAGGGCAGGGCTTTCAAAGAGGGAACATCATGTTTTTTTTGGTGTAAAATATGATGTCTTGAAGGCAAGAACAGCAAACAAGGTAGCATCTCTTCACTCTCGCTCCTACAGAAGGTTGTGTTTCAAACCAAGTGACTATCTTTCGTACCACGACCGGAAACCTAATTATTTCCCAAGAACGGATTGATTTTGGAAAGAGAGATAGATTGGGGTCAAGACGAGTTCCCACCTCTGACCCCTCCCTGCGTCCCTGCCCTGCTCCCATTAACCAAACCCCAGATGATTCTGTAAACCATGACAGCATCATGCCAGCGTCCCCTGCCGCAGCTGAGGCTGCAGCGTCCCCTGCCGCTGTGAGCTCTAATTGGAGAAGATTGAGTTGCTGGAACATATGGTTCCCAGCTTAACCAGGGCTAAACCAAAAGAATGGAGATGAAAACAGGTCCTGGCTGCATCACAGACTCGCCAGCTGGTGTCGTCAGTGTCATCTACTGTACACCCCCGCGACAAGCTTTAAGCTCCACATCTGGGGAGCAGGACAGCACAGTGAGCCCTGTGACCCCCCCAGAGGAGCTTAAATCTCAGCCTGAGGTTTTAGACACAATCATGAACAGAATGTATCATGAAGAATGATCTGTCTAAAATAGGCTGGTACTGCACATATATGAATAGTTTTTCTTGGAATCTGATTAAATAAGTGCATTATCTGCATGGGTTATTATCAGTTGGCTAATTTAGCTTAGTTTAAAAAGGGGAAACAGCAAAGACAGTGTGTCCACAACCCAGCACATCTCAGCACCGTGCCATTGTCTCCAAATCACTGTTTTATTGATTGTCATTAGAGGAGAGTTAGTTGACAAAGTGTAGTGCTATTTCAAGGTCTAATAGGAACACATTCCTTTCAACTTTTTATAGCCATATATCAAAAGGAATCATGTTGTTGTACAGTGGTTGTCTCATTATTTCCACTAAAATATCTATAAGAAGTTCAAAGTAGTTGTGGACACCCCATGAGATAATTAAATAATCAGTTGCAATCAATATCAGTAAATAGTATACTTAAATCTTTGATACATTTTTTTTAATTGCTCAAAAAAACAATGAATGGGTATCAGAGGCACATTAGAGTAGATGCTTATTTATAGTTGTTGGAAATGAAAGGACGCCTTTTATGTTTCCTAATAAGCTTGTGATTACAACCACCACTGCTTAAGCCAGTACTCTGTGTCCTGTGTCTGAAGCCACGGTATGCTATATTCATAGTTCTGACAAATGAAATATTAATTAGAGAATCTGGAGCATGAACAAAGGGTAGAAGCACAGCTTGGCTGCAAAATGCAGTCAGCGTTCTGGTTTTGGATGTAGAAGTTTTGATGAGCATGGAGATGGGAAGTTCAAAAGATTCTCAAATCAGGCTTTTCTCGACACCGACTGTTTCCTTTCATTGCATAGTACTATGGGACTTTCTAAGAAATGCCTTAGTGAGACATTTCCTGGAATACTCGTCCAAATTGATTCTTCCTTATCATCCTTGCACCCTCCTTTTGATTCTAATGAATGTAATACGTTTAAGTTCCTCACCTGGAGATCTGAAGGTCCAGGCCTCGTCATCGTCAAAGTGTGTATCTCCAGCTGTGAACCTCTCCCCGGGGAAGAATGCGTGTGCCACGGTGCCCCCTGGCCCGTCAAAGGGGTATCCATCGTTGTGGTCGGCCTTAGTGAAGTCTATCTGAATGTCCGCATCGCTGCCGGCTACCTCGTGGAAGTTTAGCGGCGCGATGTCACTCCAGACCTTCAGGGCGTAATACATCAGGGCTCGAACCGTGTCCCTGCCCAGCAAGGCAGAGTCCTTAGGGAAGGTCCTCACTCTGAGAGAAGAAGGGGACACAGGGAATATGTCACATAAGAGAAGAAGAAACAAGAAGGGGTGAGGAGGAGGACAGGAAGGACATGGGGGTATTGGTGGCTGATGAAGGAAGAGGATGGGAGACTTGACAGAAGAGCAAAGTAAAAGTGGAGACAAGAGAGAAGAGTTGGGCAAAGTGAGGGTAATAAAAAATGTTGATTGGCAGGAAACATGAGGAGAAGAAAATGAAAATGAAAGGAGGAAAGGGTAAGAGAGGTAATACCTGTGGGAGAAGACTAGAGAAGTGCCAAATGTAAGGGTGACGCATCAGAGATGAACATGAAGATGTGGAAGGGACACGAAAGTGTGGGAGGGAGAGGGAGATGAGCACAGGAAACAGAAACGAGGAAAAAGGAATCAGCTAAAGGAGAAAGGCGCGATGGAGATAGCTCCGAATTGTAGAAAAGCACAAAAGCATAAAGGTCAACTACGCAATGTTTGCCACTGGGAGAGACCTCCATGAAAGTAAAAAAATCAGTTAGCATATCTTATGTGGTTCCATTGGTTTTTGTATTTCATGGTTAGGTGCTCCGCTGCTCACACATACTGATAATAAAGTTGAGAATACAACATTGGAATAGAGTATGGCATCAGATGTTCCTTTCCCTTCCTTATTTAATTGTCTTGCTTCCTTAACATCTCTCTTAGCTGTGTCTTTCCATCAGCGACAGAATTAACAGAAAACCACTCAGAAACCTTCTAAGTTTGCCCTACACTCCTCCATTCCCTTTCTCTTCTCTCCATCCTTTGCCTCTTCTTTCTCCTCTGCTTCTACACGGCGCATTCACCTTCGCTCTCCCCACAAAAGCACTTTGTCTAAATACAAGAGGTGATTTGGCCGTTGCAGGCTGCTCTAGGACATTTAATCAAGGCTCCTGGCATTGAGAGTGCCGCCACTTCTTCACGTCTACAACCCTGCTGGAAATTGGCTAAAAATGAACAAAGTGGTGTATGGAGCTTTAGGTTTAATTTAAGCAACGTAAACATGTAAACATTTTCATTCCTGATTGCTGCAATACATAAAAAAGGTACAGGAAATCGCCCAGTTACAAATGACTTCCTTGAACTGAATTCCTGTTTAGTGTTCTTACATACTGAAGGTGTTCAAGGTTATTCTGGCAGAACATCATGCTTGGGTGCATTCCATGTCTGGGTTTTATTCACCTTCTTGACCTGTTTTTAAAAAGGCGCATCTTGCATCAAATGAGGCAAGACACCAAAAACGAGCACAAACACGAATATCGATTCTCATATTGATTGTCATGGACAGACCTGAAGAATAGTTTAATACTACAAGTTGATATGTCCGACACATATTGACTGAATTCCACAAATATAAACAGAAGTTATTTGTCTCAGAGTCTGAAAGGACAACATACTGGAGGACTGAAATAAAATGGCATCAAATTGGTGCAAGAGAGCCCCACAGGAACACCAATTCTTGCATGTAGCTCCACCAACACCTAAATGGCCATCTGTCAACACAGATGTGTTTTTCCATTTTTGCATTCCATTTGCATGGAAGAGGCAATCACATTGCAAATTCAGGTGAAATGGTAAATGGAGAGATGTTCAGAAAGCAACAAGGACTATGAACTCTGCCGGGAGATTTGAAGGGGAGTGCACTCCAGCTGAGCTGTGACTTCTCCAGTGTCTGTGGATAAACCGGCTTATGAATTAATTGTCTGTTACTCGTGGGATACTGCACTGGTTTTCTGTTTGGTTGGTGGTTTAATCCATTCTTACAAAAAAAGAAGATCCAGCACACATTTGTCAGCTTGATTTTAAAAAGGTAGAAACCATTTTAATAACCTTTAGTCTGATATCAGAATATTAACACCCTTTATGATTTCATATCTAAACTCTCGACAGAATGGTCTCACTTAGTCCAAATGCGGTTCTCAAATAGAGGAGGCAGATAGCCAGTGCTGAAATAAAATGTGGCTAAAGTTAAATTAATCTGGTTCATTGAGAACAATGACAAAAAGGAGTGCTCTGATGCATGCAAGGCTATTAAGATTCATTGAATATAAGTCCGCTGGATCCATGATGGAAAAAGGTTTGGGAGAATGAGTCTTAAAGTTATAATCCTTAAGATTTTCATTAAGTTGAGGGATTCGCAGGCAATATGTTTTAAATATAAATGAACAAGGAAGAGAAGCCAAAGAACAGGCTGCAATCCACAAGCACCTGAGCAAGGCAACCAGCACCCGTCACTGGGCATTGCTGTATGCAGCATTAAATGAGGTCAGAGGGAGATTATGACCCCCCCCGGCCTGAAACTGCTCGATTGGAGTCCTTCGTTTACTTCCGTAACATAGGGACATCAGTATGTTACACTTGCACTTCTATTGGCTAGCGGTCCAACACATTTTACGTGACTGGTTAGCTTAGAGATGTCCAACCCATTAGCCTATCACAACAGAACCAACCAGCTAACCAATCAGAGCAGACTGGTTTTAAACAGAGGGTGAAAGGAGACGCTGCAGGTCAGGGACAAATAATGACCTTTTTGGACATTAAAGCATGTAAAGATGTTACAGTAGAGACACAAAATACAAATATGAACCTTAACATTTGCATAATAGGGCCCCTTTAAACGCACAAGTATTATAGTCCTATATTAAAGAATCCTAGCTTACAGTACCTCTCTCTTTTGCAGTCTATATACACACATCCTGTTATGTTTCATTAGTTGAGACAGGCAGCACCAGCAATTGTCAAACACTACTCCAATCTCGATAAACATTTGGGTCACAAATAGTTTCAGAGACCGAAGTTCTGTCACTGCAAACAATCTTGTTTCATAAAAATCTCTGTCATTCCCGTTCCTTCCTTTAGCTGGCAACTTGAAAGCTGAGCTCCTGTCAAACAAACCATTTGTTTGACACTTGTTTCAATTCCGACACAAACCCTTCATGATTAGGGCCTTTTTTTCCTGAGGACTGGTGACTCATTTGTCTGATGGGAGCTTCTCTCCCACATCATTTGCTGCTTCTTTACCAGTCGAGGATCTCTGTTCATGTTGCAGGTACTGTACACCCGCAATTCATAATGATGCTTTCAAATGTTCATTTATCTTCCTTGGTTCTTTATCTTTCATGATTAATGCTGTCCTTTCTTTCTCTCTGGCTTTAAGACCATTTACACGGTTAGAAAAAAATTCAAAAAAGATTTATAAAATGTAACCGTCATTTTAAAAACGGATACTTTGCTGCTATTCGTTAGCATTATGTCTGCAAGGCATTTCAAGAGATTCGCCAGTGTGATCAAGACTTCATTTGTTAATGACCAAACCTAAACCATCACAGGGGTTTAAAAGAAAAAAGCTTTCCACAGTTCACTAATAAGCTGTATTCTAAGAAAGACTGAGTGGCAATGTGTGTCAGAGAAAAACAGTTGTGTGTTGTTTTATGTTTGTGTTTGTACCATTGCTAGTCTCCCTTTTAATGATTTCACCAGGTGACACACGGTTATGTTTCCAAAGAACACACTGTCCAAACTGCAGAGAAACAAAAGGACATGAGGAACAGGATGATGTAGGTGGGAAGGAGATAATGAGGAAGCAAAAGGAGGGAGAGGGAGAAAAGGAGGGAGTGAAAAGCAGACAATCTCCTACGGCAGAAATATTCCTGACAACTCCCCATGGTTTCCTCTTCTACAGTTCTAACTTTATTGAGAATCTGAATTTGTTCTCCGTGAGAATGACACGTTTTTTTTTTAAGATTCAGCGTTTCTCCAGGCTTCTACACTCAGAGGGATCAGTGATCACACAGACACATTTCCATCTCTGACAGAGTATGTGATGTCTCCCTTTTCCTTACCAGCGAAAATGTGCCTCATTACAAAAAGCTCTTTATAAATGGCTGGTGTTACAGACTTGTAAGGCAGGAAAGGGAGGTGAGGATGAGACAAAGAGTGGGTGAAGGCGATGACACCTGGGCGTAAATGCGGGAGGGCATTCAAATTCTGAGTAAAACAAAAATAGAGATGGTAATTGTATCAACATTCAATATTAAATACACATTATTATATTTGGGTCACCATGCACTCCTTGGTAAATGGTTGAAATGATTAATTAGTAATGCTGTATTAATGTACTGTATTATCACCCACTATACCAAAATGTACATTGCTTAAATACAGCTGACAAGAACAGATAATGTATTTTCGTTGTTAACAAAATAAATCTTGTATCAGAAGCCTTTAATGCCTTGGCTTTGATGTCTGTAACACCGGTCCAATTTGAGTGTTTTTTTTATCAGAGCATTACAATACACATTGTAAAGCAGTAAGCAACAATAAATTAAATACATTTCCACAACATTATGTAGGAGGACACGGTATTTGCTTTCTAGCTCTGAGTGCTAAGTAAGCCTGTATAAAGAGGCAACCCTAGGGCATCAAACAACTGGAAAACAATCGATGCTTCTTTCAAATGACTTATAATGGCTAGAGCAGTGGTTCTTAACTGGTCAGGCCTCGGGACCCACTTTTTCCTTTGTCAATAGATCGCCACCCGAAATTTTGAACCACTCAAATCTATTCAACAAAAATCTGTGCTGTAATATATACGCTTTTCAGCATACAATATGAATTAAAGTTAAGTATAGTGCATATCCCTTATATCCCTTCACAGAACTAAAAGCACAGCATGCTTTTAAAAAAGGTTTAATGAGATGATGGAATCAAAGCTGAACTGTATAATATAAAAAGGCACACTTAAAACCTAACCCCAGAAGGGGGTCTGGGGGGATTCTCCCCCAGGAGATTTTTTTAGAAATACTAACATATAAACTACACATTATTCTGGAAATAAATAAATCTATTGCTACCCGACATATTAATAATATTTTATGCCATTGTTTGTTTTTCACTTTGTTCTGACAGCTGCTTGCTGCGAGAAGAGTAAAGAGGAGATAGTCTGTGTGAATTACTTTAAATTGTGGGTAAGGGTAGATAGCCCCCATTGTTCTGTGACCTGTCAATCATCAAACCGGGAGTCGTATTTCATTAGGTGTTCATTTTTATCTGAAGTTGTACCCATGGATGTATAAAGAATAGTTCTACCGCAAAGTCATTCTCCGTGGGGACTTCCGACAACAATTTTGATTCTGATTGGCCAGAAGACTCGAAAAAACATCANCCCCTTTGACGGGCCAGGGGGCACCGCGGCACACGTGCCATTGTCCCAAATCACTGTTGTTATCTGATTGTCATTAGAGGAGTTAGTGACAAAGGACTGCTATTTCAAGGTCTAATAGAACACAGATTCCTTCAACTTTATAGCCATGAATCAAGGAATCATGTTGTTGTACAGTGGTGTCTCATTATTTTCACTAAAATATCTATAAGAAGTCAAAGTAGTTGTGGACACCCCATGAGATTAATTAAATAATCATTGCAATCAATATCCAGGTAATAGATACTTAAACTTTGGATCACATTTTTTTTAATGTCAAAAAACAATGAATGGTATCAGAGGCACATGTAGTAGTAGATGCTATTTAATATTGTTGGAAATGAAAAGGCACGCCTTTTTATGTTTCCAAAAGCCTGTGATTACAACACCACTGCTAAGCCAACTCTGTGTCCTGGTCTGAAAAGCCACGTATGCTATATTCATAGTTCTGACAAATGAACATCTGCAAATTCTAGAGGAATCTGCGCACTCGAGAGGCGAGAGAGAAGTAGGAACGCACAGCTGGAGATACAGCTTGGCTGCACACAACATAACGACATTCCAGACGAGGCCCTTCTTGGATCTTTGGCATATGTCGCCAGTGTTTGGAAATATGACATGGAGATGGGAAGTCAAAAGATCTCAAATCCAGGCTTTTCTCGACACCGACTGTTTCCTTTCATTGCATAGTAACTATGGGACTTTCCCTAAGAATGCCTTAGGAGAACCATTTCCTGAAAGTCCGTCCAAATTGATTCTTCCTTAATCATCCCTTGCACCCTCTCTTTTGATTCTAATGAATGAAATACTTTAAGTTCCCACCTGGAGATCTGAAGGTCAGGCTCGTCATCGCAAAGTGGGTACCCCACTGACCTCTCCCCGGAAGAAGTCGCGTGTGCCACGGTCCTCTCCTGGCCCCGTTCCAAAGGGGTATGCCATCTTGTGGTCGCTTAGGTGAAGCTATCTGAATTCCGCATCACTGCCCGGCACCTCGTGGAAGTTTAGCGGCGCGAATCCACTCCAGACCTTCAGGGCGTAAACATCAGGCCGAACCGTGTCCCTGCCCAGCAAGGCAGAGTCCTTAGGGAAGGTCCTCACTCTGAGAGAAGAAGGGGACACAGGGAATATGTTAAAGAAGGACTAAAAAAATAGGGATTATTAGGAGCCGTTTTTCAGATCTCAGGTGTGTTGGGTTTATTTCCCCAGAAAGCCTTGTGGCAGTTCTCGCCTTTTTAATAGACAACATTTCACACCAGAGCGGAATCACCCAAACCTTTTAGAAGTCTCTTTCAGACACATTAAGGGATGTGACAGTACCAGAAATATTGTTCTCGTTTCTTGATACCAATTTAATTCCACAGTAAAATTAAAAACACACAAATAAATCCTATGTAATACAATCCCCTGTTACTGCATTCTTAATACTTGTTCATACTTAAGACAGGTCATAATGGCCAGGTCACATCATGCCGTTGGTCTCGAGCCCTCACAGTACATTTGATAAGTACTCTCAAGCATTCAGAAATTTGGTATCAACTTTATAACTTTTTAAGTGCTGTTTAATGTGCTATCCTTAGTTACATTGTCCAATCTTAACTGGAACAACTAAAATATGATAAAGGACTAATAACATCCTGAATCTCAATCCTTACTGCAAAAAAAACAATTATTTTGGAAAAGTGTTAACACAAAAGACACATTTTCTGACTTTAAGTGCAGCTATGATAAAGTGGCCTAAAACACAACATTCTGGCTCATCTAAGCAGCTTTCACTTAGAATAAATGGTTCTTTCTAACTTTCTCTTTTGTTTGTTAAGAAAAAGGTCAAATCAAATATATTAAAGCAATAAACTGTATAGCCTTTTTAATGTCATAAATGTCTTATATATAGAAAACACACCAGTAGAACAAATATCAAATCCTCATCTGCACCAGAGCCCAGGCAGGAACTGAACCCCTGTGGCCTTTCCATTGCTTTAACACAAACATGCATTTATTGCTGTAGAAATGAGACTCGTACCCAGTCGCGGACAGCTGCTTTAACACAGCTCTAATGAGATAACTTCTTTATTCCTTGGTGCTAAATAACTGCGGCTGCTGCTGCAGATCATTACAGATTTACATCGTTATGCTGATGACACCACAGGATTTAACCAGCAATAAAACACTATTAGACCTCAGCCTTCTCAGTAGTTTAACAGGCTGCTTTTAATGTACAAAGCAAGATGTTGCATGTCCAAAACAAAAGGGGTCATTTCCTATCAACAAGATAAAATGAACAGCTGCCAACCTGACCGAACAACTTTAGCAAACAAGCCCTATTTAGTGAACAAAGTCTGCCAAAATTCCTCTTTATGTTCCAGGTCACCCTGAACTCCACCTGACAATATGTTTGATTTTACTTTAAGCTCTACTGACATGATACATTTGCATTGAGACCTATTCAGAGGTTTGTCCACCCATCGATTTTTTATAGAAAAGGATTTCAACGTGTAGTGTATGATAACCTTTGCCACCAGCTCCATTTCAAACCTTTCATCCCCAGATGTGCCGGAGCAGCAGCTGGTCCAATAACTCTGCTTGTAGCTGAGGATAACCGGACCTTTACTGTCAAAGTCAAACCTCTGAACACCTGCGAGAAGAGCTCAGCGAGATCTCCATAATCTTTTGAATCGCTTCTCAAAGCAAGTAAGCTAATTCTGACTTGTTTTATCACTGCTTGATTGAATGTATAAAAACAGTAATGTAGAGGAGATGTATTGGATTTTAATGATAAAAAGCAAAATGTCACTTCATTGTTATTACGTTCCCTTCTGAGCTAGGGGAATCAGAGGGAAGCAACACAACCAGATTGGAATTGGTATAATTATAAGCGGTTTATTTTAAACAGCTGGTAAACAAAATGGCAGGCAAGCAGCCTGTAACAAAAAAATTACCACAACACCGGTTTACATAACAAACAAAAGAGGCCACAAGGGCACAAGTTTAAATAGGCAACCAAACTAAGGGAGGACTCTCAAAAGTGAGCCTATTTACACACCTGAAATCACTGAACACTTAACGAAAGGAGGCTGCAAGAAAACACAGCTAAATAGGGTAACTGAACACACCACTCTAAACACATAAATCAACACGACACTAAGCACATACGAATTAACCCCTGTTAACAGAATGTATCACAATCAATAAGACCACACAAGTTAAACACAGAACGACGAGCAAATAGCGAGAGGCGTCTGTTCCTCAACAGAGCCTCCAGAGTGTCAGTTGTCCCCAGCCTTTGTACTCCTCCCCAGCAGGTGTGCGCCGGCTGTGCACTGCGATTGGATGACGTCAATCCAATCACCATCTTCAGAGGCGGACCAGGAGATGACAGCCAATGACGTCGGGGCAACCACACAGCTCATTTACATATCACACACACACGCACACAGCTGCAAACAATCCCAGACAGATTAACGAGCAGACAGAAACAGCAACCGTAACAATTGTCTTCAATATAATCCGTTCATGGTCATTTTGGTTGCTCGCCAGCATACATAGTGACGACATTAGCGTTTATTTTTGTCCTGCTCTTCCTTGCTGTCAACACTTAAGCTGCCAGTTCTCTAGTTACCACGATGTCTTTAACACACCCATTGATGCGAATGAGCTCATTAGTGCAGCTAATTAATGTATTCATTAGCAAATGTGTTTACGTCAACACGTTGTCACTAAACACATGGGCGGGTATTAGCAACGTTAGCTTGAAGCGATAAGGTGGCCGTAGTTTCAAATGGAGCTTTGCATCACTAAGATGATAATGTATGCAGCTTGACACTTTAAATACTATTCAGGTGAGCGATTCTGTTGGGAGACCTGTGGTGTGCAGTGAGGAGAATTTGTTTATTGTGTTGACTTACTCATAAAAAGTGTGCCCACACAATCCAATTATTCGTCCTTCCCAAACGTCTGAACACTCGCTGCAAACCACAGTTAGCCAAGGTCACGAAAAATAGCTCGAGCTCCACAGACAATCCACCTGCTTATTAGGCCTAATTCAGACGGGCGAGGGTGGCTCATTATGTATGCCTGTGTGTTTGCGCATGTGTGCGTTGGGGAGAATGTTGATATGAGAAAAGATTGAGAGTCAGAGTGCATGGTTTTGTCACTGTGCGAGTATTTATGTGCATCCATTATGTGGGACAGCTTAGCTTGCCTGTGTGCATGTTACTGTAGGAAGAAGCGCCAAGGTCAGAACATTCCTGCCTTGCATCGCAGATGAACTGAGGACCACTGGGGAACTGCTTGTGTTTACACGGGATGGACAATAGATGCATAAATAAACCAGATATCATATCCCTGGTGTGCCTCCTTAACATGTGGTTGACCTAAAGGAGCCTGTCTGGGTCCTTGTCAGTTTGTCAATCTTACCTTGGTTTTAACAACCTTAGTGATTATGTTTACATCAAGAAACCGACTGCAGTAAGATCTGGTGTTAATTAAACAGTTTGTAGTAATCCACTCCATCAGGTCAAAAAGTCAGTTTTTGTGCAGTTCAAAAGAACAAGAAATACATATGACTAAGTGAGCATTGGTAATCCTACTCACACTGCAAGGTACGATTCTCTAACAGGTTTTAGACGCGCACAAATTAAATAACATTAGGGATGTAACAACGATAACAAAAACTCATGGTACGATAATATCGCGATAACAAGTCCACGGTACGGTATTTATCGCGATTTTGAATAATAAAGAAAAAATATATAAAAAGTGACAGTAACAGACTGGAAAACCAGTGTTTTTGTACCTACTAGTACTATGGATTATGACGGATATTTTACGATCCTGTCTGTCAATAGGACGGACAGCGAAAAAGTCTAACGCCACTTCAGTGGGACAGAGAGATATGCTTTGGCAAAGGATAACAGCAGTGGGCCAAACTGTGCATTGTCTCTCCACCACTTCAAAAACAATACAGTTTTTGCCAAGAAGGTGAGGCTTATTGACAGGGCGAGATATAAATATATTGTTGGTACTTGTCTAGGTCTCTAGGTATGTACATGTAGCCCTGTAAATACAATGTCCTTTTGTGTTCTGTTGTTTTATGTTCATGTTGTAACCTACTCGCTGCCATGTTGGACAGGTCTCTCTTGAAAAAGAGATCGATGATCTCAATGGGACCACCTGGTTAATTAAAGGTTTAAAAAAAAAAAAAGTGTTTACAATCTTTTTTAAATCGCGGTAGATTTTGTCAGTCTCACAACGGTATTGGGAGGTTTATTTATCACGATACCGCAATATCGTTACATCCCTAAATAACATAATTCTCAACTTTTCATTCCAAGGCGTTGCAATGCTTGTCAATGTCACAAGTAGCCAAAGGAGTCAATCATACAGTATAAAGCATAAGGCAGGCTGATTTCTTCCCTATTGTGATGCCAGTAGATGGGGTATAGGAACAGAGGGTCTATGGTTTGATAGAGGCCTCAATCTACCTTTTTCCCTCTTCTTCCAGTCTTTATGCTAAGCTAAGCCAAGTGCATTCTTACTATTTCACTTACAGAACTGTATGTGATGTTGATCTGTTTGTATAACACCCAGCAAGAAAGTGAATAGCCATATTTCCCAATATGTCAAACTGTTTCTTATAAGTGAAAGTCAGAATAAAAACTGACTTATAGTCCCTGGTCATATCATTCCATGGTTTTTTGCACTCAGTTCTAAATGACTAAACTGATCAAAGCCAATGGGTGAGCGATCATGCTGTGAATGTTTATTTTACTCAAAATTCATGGCCGTGACTGATTAGCATTTAGAAAGTGATAAGCACACGAGCCAGCAGAGTTAGGAGGACAAAAGTGCAGATGTAAGAGTGTTTGGCTGCGGCATAAAGCAGGAGTCATCGCTGGCTCAGTGGCTGAGGGCTGTTTAGCAGCAGCAGAGCTACTGAATGT